GGTTATCTGCTGCTGTGGAATGCAACAGGTGCATCTGGGATTGGTCTCATGCGGTTGTTTCTAATTAATGGCCAATCACAGTCAGCTGGCTTGGACACAGAGCCGAGCCACAAACCTTTGTTATCATTCTTTCTGATTCTATTCTTAGCTTAGCTAGCCTTCTGATGAAACCTTTTCTTCTATTCTTTTAGTATGGTTTTAATGTAATATATGTCATAAAATAATAAATCAGCCTTCTGAAACATGGAGTCAGATCCTCGTTTCTTCCCTCAACCTGAGACCCCTGTGAACACGGTCACAGAGCACTGCAGGACTGGAACACAACCAGTGACAAACACAGAGGGGCTGGTGGCCCTGGAGCAGCCTCAGCATCCCTGAAGGGTCACTGTGCTGGATTTGAAACTGGATGGGTTTCAAACCATGTTTGCCTCATTCTGCAGCTCCAAAACCTGCAGATTCCAGAGCAGACAAAGCCTCGGTGCCCTTGCTGCCCAAACCCAGCCCAGCTCACCCAGCACTGCCACTGAAGCACCAAACCAGCACACGCTGCCAGGATGGGACTCCTGCTCATTCCCACCCCTGCCCAAGGTGTTTTTATAACCAGCACATCCCCACCCTGCCCAAGGCAGGAACGATCCCCTCCTGCCCCAAACAGCCCCAAACAGCCCCAGCAGAGCCCTCCTGCAGCCCTGGGGTGTTTGTGGGCACAGCCAGGGCTCTTTCCCCTCTCAGGACCTGCAGAGCTGAGCCAGGGATCCATCAGACCCAGCAGCACAGCATCCCTCTGCAGCAGAGGGAACAGGCTTTATTTTAAGTAGAGCAATCCTTTCTTTTGTCACTGAAGTGGCGTTTTAAAATGTCTCTCTTGTAAATGTGCCAAAAATAAGAGCATAATTTATTCATTTCCTCTATGTGCATTTTGTTCCTGGTTATCTTTCCAACTCCTTGACTGCTGTGAAAAGTTAAAAAAGGGAAGAAAAGGAAAAAAGCAACTCTAAAGGTTAAAACTTTGTGCCAATTTCAGCTTCTACATACATTAGAGCAGTGTATTTTTCATTCATTCCTCCTGGTGACATTTCAAGCTTTGTTACAAATCAATCAGCATTTCCAAAAGCATTTGGAGAAGCAGGAAACTATAGTGGCTACAAATCCTACAACATCTATTATTCTTGCTATTTCACTCGTTTGGATGAAAAACATTTCAAAGGTTATTTTAAAAGAAGCAAGGATTTGTCTGAAGTTTCAGGACAGACAAAAGACTTCTGTGCCATGTTTCAGCAGCAGAATAAACTTTAGCAATATACACAGAATTTATTTCATCATGAATTTGGTCAAGCATTCAAAAGGATGGAGCCTGGAAGAGAGGGAAGAGATACAAATAAAGCAGCTCTGTGTGATGTGGAAATACTGGGAAATAGGCAATGTACCTAAAAGTCATAAAAGGCAGATTTAAAGTGGAGGTTCTGGAAGCTTCCTTCAGTGTGGTGTTTATCACCCAAGGCCACAGAATCATTAAGGGTGAAAAAAACCTTCAGGGTCATCAAACCCAGCCTTCACACCACACCTCAAAGTGCTGCATCCACTTTTTAAACACTTTTAGTGAGGTGACTCCAGCCCTGCCCTGTGCAGCCCATTCCAATGCTCAACCAGCTCTTTCAGGGAAGATTTTTTTCCTGATACCCAACCTGAACCTCAGAACCAATTTATTGCAGTGCCCAAGGAAGGAGCAGCTCAGCTCCTGCCAGCCCAGTGCTGTGCCAGGGGTGTCCCTGGCAATCCAGCCCAGCTGGGTTCCCTTCCCAAGGCACCAGTGCCAGGTGTCCTGTGGGATGGGACACGGGGCTGCCCTCAGCCTGGAGGGCATCTCCATGGGCACAGCCTGCCTGGGTTCCATCAGGGAACAATTGCCACTGTTTGTGTGGGAAACTCGAGGGGAACAACCACCAGTCAGGATCAGAGAGGGAACTGTGCCTGGGAGAGGACAAGGAGGAGGAAGAAACCCCCAAACCTGCACCCTGCCAGCCTGGAAAGCCCTTGCTGCCATCCCCCCATCATGTACCCACTTTGTGCCCAGCCAGGCTGAGCAAACCCAGCAGCCCTGGAGACAAGACAAACCCCTCCCCAGATGACACATCTCCTGGTTTTGCCCAGCCCCAGGCCAGCAGAGAGCAGCTGGAATCCCTCTGTGCCCAGCCTGGCAGCAGAGCACGGGAGCAGGACAGAGGCGCCACAGGATGGACCAGCTCCAGCTCACAGCTGTCACTCCTGGTTACCATCACGCCAAAGGAGAGGGAAATCCGGGCCTCAGAGTGACATTGTGCTGTGTCTGGAGTCTGGGCAGCGCCAGGGATGAGGCTGAGAGGCTCCTTTGGCCCGGGTGATGAGCAGCTCTTCCTCATCTCCCGTTTGCTGCCGGGGTCTCTGTACAAATCCCAAACAGGCCAGGACTGCTGGAAACTGCCTTGAGCTGTTGGATTTTCCAGCATCAGCCTCATTCCATGGGTATGGCAATGGGAAGATGCCAGCAGCTCACATCCCAGGCAGCAGACACAGAACTCAATGTCACAACTCACTTTATAAGGTTTTTGACCAATCCCACAAAGCAAAAGCCCATTGACAGTATTTATATCTGTATAGTATATATTCTATATTGACAGTAGTTCTATCCAACCACTATAAGCACAGGTACGTGTGGTTAAACGATGCTTGATTATTTCAAATACAATACCTGCTTGTAAGCCTTAAAACACAATGCACACAGCTCCATTATTAAGCTTAGAACTTTCCAACATCTCACTAGATAAACTTTTCTGCAGCTTAGGGAGTTATTCTAGACAAGCGTTAATACACAGACCATTGTTCTATTTGTTCTTGCCTTTCTACTTTGTACAGAATTTTTCTGCAAAAATGTTCTACATTTAGGAGGGAAGTAAAGGCAAAAATCTTATGAAATTACATTACCCCACATTCTTTTCTTCTGACCAATCTCATGGCTGGTGCTTAGCTCCAATCACAGTTTTGCTGTTTCTGCCCTTTGCAGTTTTCCCAAACCCCTCTGATTTTGTGGATTCCCACAGGCTCCCCAGGCCAGGCTGGGATGGAGCTGCCCCAGCCCCAGGGGGAGATGGATAATGAATGTTAAAGTGACACAAGGTTGCACAGCAGAGCTTTGGGCTGGAAATGCCAATTCTGGGCATTCTGTACAAGGGCCCCAGCCCTGTGCATCTCCTTCAGCCACTGGGATGGTTCTTAAACACCCACGGACAGATATTGCTGTGGAAATCAAAAAGTTCTGCTTCCAGCATTCTCTAACCTGTCCAAATGGATGCTCTCACATCCCAGGCTGTCTTTGCCTCTCACCCAAACTCATATGAGGAAGAAATCCCACTCTGCACCTCGTGCCCCAACAGGAGGGTCTCCCTGACCCTTTTGGCTCTTTAGTCCCTGTGTAAATCACTTTAAATCAATTCTAACTCCATTTTCCTTTGCAGAATTCATCCATGCAGTAATGAATAAGGGTAAAACTAGCCATCAAACTTTGCTCAATCACACTCTGACAAATTTAAATTAAATCTCCTTCTGCTCATACCTTTGCCTGGGATTCTTTAGGCGACAGGAGTCACTCATCTGTGGCACAAGGTATGGGCACAGCTGAAGCAGCTCCACCACCAGCAATGGGCAAAATAATAATAACTCATGGTTGGGAGGAAAGCTGGAAATTTAAAAACTCTGCACAGATGCCTCTAGCAGGTTCCTGCTTGTCTTTATGGTTTCATCAGAGCTATTTCTGTTCCAGGATGTTATATTTGTAATATTTTTTTTATTATGTAGGAAACAGCTTATTTGATCAATTTGCCCTATTTTTTCTGTTCATGAATTTAGTGGGAGGTTAATCATTTCCCTGGGTTTACTAGAAATTACCTGCCAGATATAATTGCAGTAAATAAAACTCTCTCTGGAGCTCAGGCTCGTGTGGCCCAGAACAAATGCCTGCAATTACTGCATTTGTGGAGCAGGAGCTCAGCAGAGCAGGAACACGGGCAAGGAAATTAGTCTGGGCTCTTAAAAGGCACCTGAGGACTGCAAGCACAGCTCCCTGGCAGCTGGTCAGCAAATCCCCATGGATGCTGTGCCGATGCTGCCTGGCTGTGCTGGCACTGCCCTGTGCTGCTCCCTGCACATCCCTGTGTGCTGGCAGCAGGGATGGCACTGCCAGGCCTCCACCAAGGGCTCAGAGGCTGCTCAGTGCCCCTTGAGCCTTCCCACACCCAGCACAGCTCTGGCATTTCCCTTGAATTTACTCTTTTCTGCCATAGCTTGAGCTGCCTCAGCCGCTCTGCTCAATCCCTCCTGCCCCTGCCACTTGTTGAGAGCGCTGGCTCGCACAGACACCTCTGAAAAATGCTCAGGTTATGCTTAAATCCTGCAGGGAGGGCTGGGCAGGGGCTCAGGGCACCCCAAAATCCGAGGAAAAGCTGCATTTGTGCCTCCAGCCTCTGCTGTCCCTCAGGACCCTCAGATCAGCTCTGATGGGTGGGGGCAGCAATGGATGTTATGGAAAAATGGTTAAATGAGGAATTTTTACTTATTAAAAAAAAAAGTATTTCTTTGGGAAACATGCCCCTGCATTTCTTCCAACACTGCACAGTGAAAGGCACACACAAGCAAGGCAATTTCCTACAGGTCCCAGTCTGCAATTAAAAAAAAAAATCCCTTTTAGTGTTATTCCTAATACATACTGCTTTTAGATGCTGAGCAGAGTGACTGGGAAATACTCAGTGTTCTTTATTGACTTCCTAAAGCAAAAGCCTCCAAATCCATCCCCCAGCAAGAGGCATCTCTGAGGTTACAGATCCCTGCACTCCCATTGCAATCATCCCTTTCACATTAAAAAATAATGAGCTTCATCTCATTTGCAGATCCTTAAAAGCACCGAACGCTGTGGTCACTTGGCAATGGGAGCATCTCATAAATAGTAAATGAAAGCAGAGCTCTCTTACCTTCCCCAGCAGCAGGGCTGGGAGCTGGGCAGTCCCACAGGGCAGCAGGGTCCTTTCAGGGGCTCTCATTGCAGAATGGCTGAAATTCCTGCCCAGGGAGGCTGACAGAGGGTTCTGCAGGACATTGGAAATGTTTGTTTCACTATTCCCATCTTGAGAAACCTCTCTGTAAATGCAATGCTTTCTCGCAGTGGAGAAGTGCCAGAGCTCCTGGTAAAACCCAAATCAGTCATTTTTATGGGGAACCTGCACAAATGCCTGTTTCACCAAAGAGGGAATTTGGGAAGCATCTACAGCTAAGCAGAACAGAGCAGCTCGCTGAAATGGGTGCCTAAAGGCAGCTGCAACCAGAGAAATGAGATCTATAATACGAGGCTTTGCCAAAAAAATAGACTTCTCTGTTTTCCCCCCTCTTCCTAATATACTTGTGCACTTTCTTTTGTAATAAAACCTCCCTAGAACAGGCAGTCCCTCATTATGGATGAGTGTGTTGTGCCAAAGCTGTGGTCCAGCAGTGAGGTTACTGCAATAATGCGCTCAGGACGTCAAGAATAAACCTTTTTTTTTTTTTCTTTTTTTAAATAAATCCATAAGTCTAAAAGGCCTTTAAAATTTAGTATATATGAAACCAATTGAATTTTATAGGAGCAGGGTGTATAGGAGCTGCTCTTGCAGCCATCTTATCATTCCTCAGCGAGGGATAATGCCCTGTTAAGTGCTAGTAAATGCTTTAAAGAGGGATGATGCCCTGTTAAGTTCTAGTAAATGCTTTAAAACACACAGGAAACTCACAGATATTTTACCATTCTGTTGGGTTTCACCTTGGCCAGTGCTCTGGCATTTCTCATGTACAACCAGGGCCACTCTTGGCTTCCTGGCATGGGCTCCCAGGTCAAAAGCAGAGGGTTTGGGTAGGGTCTTGGCAGGAACCTGGTGTGTGGGTGCTCAGTGACCCTGCTGGGATGCTGGACAGCCACCCCAGGGGATGGAATGGGATGGGTTTTAAGGTCCCTTGTCACATTCACATTCTCTGGAAAAATCCCTTTGCCCAGGATTTTTCTCCTGGGAAGCCTCAGAGAAAAAGGAAAACAATAATTGTCTGATTTGCTTCTCCTGTGTTTTGCTGCTTTGGAATGTGTTTGGAGATTGTTTGCCCACAGGTGATTGTTTCATTGGTTTCATGTGAGTTGTTTTGACTCTTTGGCCAATCAGGGCCAAGCTGTGTCAGGACTCTGGACAGAATCATGAGTTTTCATTATTGTCTTTTTAGCCTTCTGTCTGTATCATTTCTGTATTCTTTAGTATAGTTTAGTATAGCATTCTTTAACATAATATAGTATCATAAAATAATGATTTAGCCTTCTGAGAACATGGAGTCAGATTCACCATTCCTCCCTGCCACAGGGGTCCCTGTAAATACAATATTCCCTCCCATCCCAAACCGTTCCATGGTCCAATATCAGCCTCTGCCACGGATGGGGATGGGGGGATGCTGAAACACAACACAGCCATCACTGGTGGGCTGTGAAGTGTCTCTATGCCCTGGAATCAAACCATAAAGACCTCAGTAAAAGCTGGAGCAGGGCAGGAGCTGCAGGGAGCTGGGGACAGCCAGGGGCTCCAAGGGCGCCTCTGCTCTGGGATTCAGCAGCACAGCCCTGCTCTGCACTCATTCCTGGAGCATTATCTGCAACCAGCACATTCCCTTTGACTGACTTCACCTCATGGAAAAAAACCTTCTAAGAGTTCCTGCTGCTTTTATAGAACACTTGTATTTATTTAGTAAAATAATTGGAAATCTGTTTGTTGGTTGGGTACAAAGGCATTTCCTAAGGCCCATGTTCTTAAAGTGGGATGAGAACAGCCCCAGAACCTGTCTGTCTCTCACAGTTTCTACTGTGTCAGGAGCTGCACGAAAATGAACCATTGTTTTAAATTACTATGGCTGAAAGAACCCATATTTTTGTTGTCAAAATCTTAAATTGACTCTGCCACAACACTCCATATGTTCTGTTGCCCTAGATTAAAAGATCAGATAAATTCTAATTTCTGCAGCTGGGGTTGTGTCCCTCCAGCTGCCCTTTGGAAGGGCTGTGCTCCAGCCTGGGAGCTGCTCTGGCAGAGCTGCCAGGACATCACACAGAGCAGGAGCAGGGGGACAGGGGAGAGGTGGCTCTGGGGCTTTGTCCTCCATGCTCAGTAACACTGGGAAGAGGCTGTGCACATGGTAATTAGCTCAATTTGCAGCCTGAGCTGTGTAAATGGCAGTTTGATAACCTTGGCTGGTGGGATGTGGTGGGAGCAGGGGATGGAGGCAGGGATGAGGGTGCAGGGACCAGCCTGTGCTGCCCCATGGGCAAAGCTCAGGCCCTGCTGCACGTCTGCAACCTCTGGTTCCAGCAGGAGCTGAGTTATGCTCAGCATGGCAGGAGAGCCCATCCATCCAATCTCCTCCCTGTGAGAGCAGCAGAATCACAAAATCCCAGAATGGTTTGGATTGGAAGGACCCCAAATCCCACCCAGTGCCACCCCTGCCATGGCAGGGACCCCTCCCACTGTCCCAGGTGCTCCAAACCCAGTGTCCAGCCTGGCCTTGGGCACTGCCAGGGATCCAGGTGTCACCATGATATTTTATAGAAAATCCCTTTGCCAGGATTTCTTTTCCTGGGAAGCTTCAGCTTCTCCATGTTTTGCTCCTCTGGAATGTGATTTGGAGAATTGTTCACTCAGCATGTGAATTGTTTTTAATTAATGGCCAATCACAGCCAGCTGTTTCAGACTCTGGTCAGTCACGGGTTTTTATTATTCATTCCTTTCTAGCCTTCTGATGTCTCCTTTCTTTTTCTTTAGTATATAATTTTCTTATCATATAATATCATAAAATAATACATCAGCCTTCTGAGAACTTGGGGTAAATTCTCATCTCTCACCTCATCCTGGGGATCCTCCCAACAACACCCCAACATCCAGGGGTAGCCACAGCTGCTCTGGGCAGCAAGAGAGAAACACTTTTGATCTTTCTGATTCAACACTCCATAACCCCAAGGCTTGGGGTGCCCCTGAAGCCATACAGGGCAATGGAGAGCAGTGGGTGTTGGGCTGAGGCTCTGTCCCAGCCAGGTGGGATGAGCTGGAATTGCTGAGATTCCCTTTGGGAGGAAACCATCACTGCTACTGCTCATGGAAATCTCACACACAGCTCTGCACTCACTGCTGAGCGCATCCTCAAACATTCCCTCTCAAAACAGGTGTGGGAGGAAGGGAAAATTCCTACAAGGGAGCAAGGAAAAAAATTCCTACAA